TATGAGGATCCATGTCCACCCCTACCTCGTTCCTTCCACTCGCCTCCACTTTGCCCGGACTCCGAAATGGGCAAAATGGCCTACGGCCACCAAATGTAGCCTACAGACATTGAGAGATGGTCTACGGGACCTCTCCCTCCCTTCAGGAAAAGAAACAGAGAAAACCGAGTCTGGTTCGCAAACCGAGACAAGGCACAGAAGAGGGTTCGAAAGTCCGGAGGCAGGGCTCACGGTCGTGACTCTGAAACTTCTGAACGAGCACATTATGCAACATCACCAAGCGCTCAATTGGTGACGTCTGAGTCTTAAGGTCGGTCAAAAATGGGGTGTCTACAACGTTGTGGTTAATTGGTTGGCCTTGGGCAAATCCCATAGCGCGGTTCCTATTAACGTTGTGACTAACAGATTGGCCTTGGGCAAGTCCCTTGACTCGAATCCTATTAGATCTTTCTCTACGATCATCGTCAATAGAGTTTGTGCTTCCTCTTTCGATGAATGAGATCGAGCCAGGAGAAACCTTGCTCTGATACCACTTGACACAGCGGAATACACGGGGACTAGATATCGTTCTAGTAGACCGAAGGGGCTCTCGAATCCACGAGAAAAATAGAACCTTGAATCCACAAGGAAGAGAAATATTATTGAATGAATGAATAAAAGTTGTATAAAAGTTGTCTTTGCCATGAGGCTTACATAGCTATTTATAATAAAATAAACCTAACACTTCTAGGAAAAGTAATTCTAAAATAAACTAGGAAACTTAAATCAATACAGATTAGAAAACCTAAGAGAATAGGAAACTAGAATTCTAAACTATTTAAAATCCTAGTCAAATCTAATTCCAAAATAATAAAATTAAGAAACCTAATAATCCTAAAATATTTATACTAAATTACAAGAATCCTAATACTATATCAAAACTAAAAATATAAAAATTCTGAAAATCTTGTCCTGAAAATCTTGTCCTACATCAGTCATATTGTCGGTCAAGTTATTTAATTAATTTTTATTTTTATTTCTTATTTGGTCTTGAGGTAGTTTTAGAAGTCAGATATTTAGAAATTTCCATTTTTAGTTCTAGTAGGAATAGAAATTCTCTAAAGTTTATATAAAGTCATATAATACTTCTAATTTAATAGAATTATATTTTAGACAATTTCAAAGCTTTGAAGTTTTATTATGGATTGTGTGATGCAATCAAACCCTAAGTGTGATGCCTAGGGGGATTCTAGGAGTGATTCCTAGAACTATCTTCTTCTTCTTCTTCTTCTTTCCGTTTTTAGTTTACTGTTCACGAGTTACTGTTCACATCATCATAACAGTCCAATAATAGCCCCAAGTTCACATCTTTTCATACTTAAACTATTACCGCTTTATTAACCTAAACAAACCCTTTAAAACCCCTGTACTTTTATGCCAATTTCAGCCATCAACCCAACTAAAATCACCCCAAAACAACACACTGCTGCTGCTGTCTCCACTTGTCCTACAATTTTTGTTCTGTTGCTGTTAACGAATTATTATTTGTAGTCCATAAATAAGTCTTATTTTGCCACCACAAATTCCTTTCTGCTTTAGCCCAAACCCTTCACAAACCAATTCCCTAGAAATCCTTAGTATTATTTCATTAAACCTAACTATAAATTAGCTCAAACTTGCTCACCCTTTGTGTGCTATGTCACCATGTGCCATAGAGTTTGAATTTTAGGGTCCCATTGAACTTAGGAATTTATCCCAAACTTAGTTAAAATTTACGTGCCAACATCATGTCATTGCATTTTTTAAAAATCAACATGGTGGTGTCATGTCTGTCTCTGCTATTTAGCTCTTAGATTGAAATACCTGGAGTTTATCTATGTGAATTTAAAAATCAACAATTTGGGTCAAAAAATATAAATGCAAGGAATTGAAACCAAAGATCTTGACTACTCCTGTCATTGAGATTTCTAAAGAAATTAAAATTCCAAGAAATCGTAGCCAATGAAGACCAGCCATGGAAGCAATAAAACAATTTTGAGATTGAGCCACTCTCTATAAATGTGAAAAGGTCAAAGAAAGGAAGAATTGCCAACCCAAACATCCTCCCAAAATCGAACTAATTCCCCATTACCCACTCTCAAGGAAAGACAACGAGACCAAAGTGGAAAAATATGAGAGATTGATTACCAAGGAGCTCGACAATTACCCCTACTAACATCTACGTATCTCTACCATTAGCTTGAATCCCATACTTGCTTTTAATAACAGAATGCCATAATGAACCACCCTCATTTGGAAATCTCCACAACCACTTGCCAAGTAGGGTTATGTTCCTCGCTACAATGTTACCAATGGCCAAGAAGCCCACCTTCTCCTTAGAAAATGAAGTTGTCACCCAATTAACCAGATGGTGATTCTTGCCCTCATCTTTCTCTTCCCAAAGAAAATTCGTCATTAGCTTCTCCAACTTTCTTGCAACCTTAACTGGAAACAAAGATTAAAAAAAGAAGAAGATGGGAATACTACTTAAATCTACCTTAACCAAAGTATATCTCCCCCCACTTGAAAGTAGAGACATTCGCCATCCCTTGAACCTCTTACCAGTCTTCTCTACTACCAGATTCCAAAAAAACTCATTTCTAGGATTGCCTCCTAATGAAAGGCCCATGTATTTGAACGAAAGTTTCTCAATGCCACACGCTAATTAAAATCCCCGCCATTCTTTGGACATTATCATGTTGTAAATTATTACCACAACACTACCTTTTTCCAAGTTAATCTTAAGCCCTCAGATTACTCCAAAAATCCTTAATATCAGAAAAAGATTGACCATTTGACTTTCTTCCCCAGAAGAAAAGAAGACGGTGTCATCCACATATTGTAAATGCGTCACACCAATCCTCTTTTCCTATTACTAGCCCCTTCACAAGACTTACCTCTCTTGCCCTTTCAACCATCCTCCCTAACACATCTACCACCAATATAAAGAAAATAAAAAAAGATAATGGATCCCCCTACCTTAATCCTTTAGAAGCCTTAAAAGACCCCTGATTTTCCATTTACTATAACCGACATATTGCATGTCAACAAACACCCCAAAATCCACTGGTATTTGGAAAATAGCTTGATTAGCTATTCCCCAATCAATATTTCAACAAACCATCTCTCGTGATTTGTAATAATGGTCAGTTTAGGAATTCCAACATTGTAATTAATTTTGTATAAAGATCACAAAAGGATTTGTTTAATCTTGTCACGATGGTCTCCAACCTGTTCTTTTATAGAAGAAAAAATCTCTTTTGGAAGTGAAGTTCTTGTTTTTTCAAAGAGATAAATTTCGGGACCAACTATAGGCAACCATGAAGTGTAGTGCAAAACTGGATCAATATTGTGAAGATCATTTGATAGATGTCCAAAACAACATCTCATTGTTGATGTGTCTGCTGAGGAAATTAGAAAGGCCATGCTCCCACTCGAAGATGGGAAAGCACCTGGGTCTGATGGGTTTAATACTTTGTTATTCAAGAAAGCTTGGGGAATAAATAGGGATGATGCTATCACTATTATATGATCTTTCTTTAGGTCTGGAGATATTTTTTTTTAAAAAAAAAAAATCCACTCTACAATCATTACTCTGGTCCCTAAGGTCCCAAACCCTACCCAGCTGAACCAATTTGCCCCTCTTGTTGTAATACAATCTACAAATGTATTGCCAAGATCTTGGCCAATACAGTCAAAGTTGTAGTGTTGTATGGCAGCAATACATGGCAGCGACACACAGAGTAACCAAAGAAAAAAAAATAAAAGAAAAAAAAGGCCACACAAAATAACAAAAACCCTAATTTTATAATATCAATATCCAAAATTCAACTTAGTATCAGTTTGCCAAACTATTACATAAAAGGTATATTTATAGGCATATATGAAGCAATCTAAGGGAAATTTGATGAGAAGCGTAAACTAGTCATATATCATTCAACTATTTTTCCATATTTACATATATCAGTCTCACCTCTATATATACAAGAAGAAGCTAACTAACTTAAAACAACTCTAACTAACTAACAAACTATCTAACTAACTGAGGGAGATATTCACATATAACAGCAGCACATGAATGATACAATGAGACCTCAGCTTAGCTCCTTGAACTCTTTGTTCTGTCTTGGATTTGTTGAACTTGAACTGGAACTAATCTGTCAACATTCCCCCTCAAGTGAAGGGAAGAAGAAACCTCCATAAGCTTGTCCTTAAGATAGGAAAATCGAGAAATAGATAAGGGCTTGGTTAATATATCAGCAAGCTAATCAAGAGCAGAAACATAATGTAAAACAAGGTGTTTGGCCAGAACTTGATCGCGCACAAAATGACAATCAACCTCGATGTGTTTGGATCTTGAATGAAAAATAGGATTATATGTTAGTCCAATGGCAGAAACATTATCACATCAGAGCAGTGGCACAGTGGGAGAATCAATACAAAAATCATGGAGACGTAGGCCAAGCCAAGCAAGTTCTGTAGCAGTATGAGCCAAAGACTTGTGCTCAGCTTCAGTAGATGACCTCCAAACAGTAGCCTGCTTCTTGGCAGACCAGGAGATGAGATTGATCCCTAGAAATACACAGTAACCAGAGGTAGACTTTTGGTCAAGAACATCCCCAGTCCAGTTGGAATCTGAATAAGCATGAAGATCAAAAGAACTGGGAGTGTAGGTGAGGCCATGATGAAGAGTTCCCTTAACAAATCGAAGAACCCTTTTGACTGCAGAAAAATGAGCATTAGTAGGGTCCTGCATATGTTGACATAATTGATTAACTGCAAAGGTCAAGTCAGGTTTGGTAATTGTCAAGTATTGCAAAGCTCCAACCACACTTCGATATAGAGTGGGATTAGCAAAAGAATGATCAGAAATAGGAGTCGCAGCAGGCTTGACAGCAATGAGAGAAGAGCAAGGTTTACAATTCATTATCCCAGCATTGTGAATAATGTCTTGAGCATATTTAGGTTAAGATAAAACATAACCAGAAGCTGTAGGCTCAACATATATACCTAGAAAATAAGATATGGAACCAAGTTCTTTCATAGAAAACACTTGGTGCATTTGAGTGACAAGAGTTTGAATATGCTGAGTATCACTGCCAGTGATTAAGATGCCATCTACATACACTAGAAGTGCAGTAAAAGTAGAGGATGTCTTTTGAATAAACAGAGAAGAATCACACTTGCTGTTGACAAACCCTTGAGAAATGAGGAAAAAGGAAAATGTGGAGTACCATGCTCTTGGGGCTTGCTTAAGGCCATACAAAGCTTTGTGAAGCTTACAAACAAAACTGGAAGAGGTTTCAAACCCTGGAGTTTGCAACATATAAACTTCCTCTTCAAGCACACCATGAAGAAAGGCATTGGATATGTCTAACTATTTGATAGACCACTTATGGTGTAAAGCAATGCATAAGAGAATACGAATATTGGGAAGCTTGGCAACTGGGCTAAATGTTTCTTGGTAATCAATGCCCTCTTCTTGAAGATATCTCTTAGCAACCAACCTTGCCTTATGCCTTGCAATAGTACCATCAGAGTTCCTCTTGATTCTAAACATTCATTTACAGCCTATAGCAATTTTGCTAGGAGGAAGAGGAACAAGAGACCAAGTATGTTGCTTCTGCAGGGCCTGAAATTCATCTAACATGGCCTGTTTCCATATGGGAATAAGAAGAGCTTCTTTGTGAGAAGAAGGCTTAGAGTCAAAAGTAGAAGAGGATTTGACAGAGGAAAGTGCAGCAGCTTTAGATCTGGTAACCATGGGATGAAGATTTAAAGAAGGGACAGAAGAATTTGGTACAGGAGTAGGAGAAAGCAAAAGTAATTGAACTGAGAGAGATTGAATTGGAATAAAGGGTTGAAGAATAGAAGAAACCAGAGGCAAAGAGGCTGACTTGGGTGACAAAGAGACTGACTGAACTGCAAAGGAAATAGCAGATGGTAAAGAAGGAAAATTAGTAGCTGAAGGAGAATAATTAGGAACTAGAGAAGACCAGAAAAAGGACTGAATCTGAGGTAAAGAAGAAATAGAGAAAATAGAAGGAGAAGTAGGTGTGGACATAGAAAAAAGAAACACATGTTCATTAAACATAGCATGTCTGGATAGGTAAACTTTACCAGAACAGGGATCAAGACATCTATAACCCTTAGCAAAGGGATGATAGCCTAAAAACACGCATGCAATAGATTTAGGCTGCAGCTTAGTAGAGGTATAGGGTTTTAACCAAGGAAAACACTGACAACCAAAGGTTCTTAGAAAAGCAAAGTCTGAAAGGTGATGAAACAAAACCTCAAAAGGAGATTTGTGACCCAACTTAGAAGAAGGCAATCTGTTAACCAGATAAGTAGCAGAAGCAAGAGCATCAAACCAAAAATGGAGAGGAACAGAAGAATGATGTAACAAGGCTATAGCAACTTTAGTGAGATGTCTATGTTTTCTCTCAGCCACACCATTTTGTGGTGGTGTATATGGACAAGAATGTTGATGCACAATGCCTTGAGCTGTGGTAAAAACTTTCATTTTATTATTACAGTATTCAGTGCCACCATCAGTTCTAAGAATCTTAAGTGAAGTAGAGAATTGTTTTTCAGCATAAGCTTTAAACTCAAGAAACTTATCATATACTTCATTTTTATAAGCTAAAGGATACAACCAAGTAAGTTTGCTAAAGTCATCCACAAAAAGAACATAATATTTGAAGCCAGATGTAGAGTCAAAGGGACCCCAAACATCACTACATATCAATGAGAGAGGTTTATTAACAGATGAATTAGACAATTGAAAAGGTAGACGATGACTGTTAGCAACACAACAATCAATATAATCAAGTGAAGTAATAGACTTATTAGCAGTAAGCTGCAAATGAGGAACACGATGCTGAAATTTCAAACTACTAGGATGACCTAGTCTATTATGCCATACAATACTAGAAGTAGGCAATGAGTTATTGACAAAAGAATCTGGTACAAAAGTAGCAGCATATGTGAGTGGTGCTGTATTTTGAGCAGCAATGGCTGCAGAAGAAGATGTGTAAGTGACTGATGGAAGAAAATGATATAATCCATTGTGATTAGATCCTTGGTGAAGAATTTTCTTCATACCTTTGTCCTGAATCACAAATTTGGCTTCATCAAAACTAATAATACAATTATTATCCTTAGCCAACTTTTGAATAGAATCAAGATTAGAAGACATAGAATCAGCATGAAGAACATTATTAAGTTTGAAAGAATAATGAGGTGTAGGAGGGAGACCTTTACCAGTGTTCTGAATGGGAATGGAAGTTCCATCACCTATGGTAATGTGATCTGAACCTGGATAAGCCTGATAGTTACTGAGATGATTCAGATCATTGGTAATGTGATTTGTGGCTGCGGAGTCTAAGTACCAAGGACTAGACTGAAAATTTGAAAAAACCTGAGACGGATGTGAAGAAGAAACACTAGAACCAGGTAAAGAAGATGCATGAAGTGCTCTAGATTACCGAGGAGAAGAGAATTGAGAGGATGGAGAATGAGTTGAAGCATGTGAAAATGACTGATATTGAGGATCCATGCGATGCCAACAATCGCGTGCAAAATGACTCAGTCCTCCACAAATTTGACAACCTAAAGTAGAAGAAACCTGATTGAAATTTCATCCTCTGCCTCTGTTGTTGCTATAGTAGCGACCATTGCCTCTATATGACCCTAAATTACGACCTCTTCTGCCTCTATAGGAAGACCTGCATCTTGAATAAGTGAAAGTAGGTGCACGTGAAGCAGAATTAACAGATCCTTTAATAGAAGAGAATACAACAGTTGGTTCTACAACCTTCTTGTGTTTGGCTTCCAAATGAATTGCCTCAGAACAAAGCAGAGATGATAGATCATCCATAGTTATAGTGTTAGATTGAGCACGAATGTCTGTGGTGAAAGCATCATATTCAGATGGCAAACCATTCAAGGTGATTAACAATAAATCTTCATCTTCAACAATTACTAAAGCAAGTGCTAACCGACTGACTAAGGCCTTGATCTTCGAGAGATACTCCTCCATTGTATCTGATTTCTTAGAAACAAGATTCAACTTGTTCTTCAATTGATGGATATGAGATCGAGATAGAGATGTAAATCTCTTATGCAGAGAAGACCAGATCTCAGAGCAATGCTAAAACTGAAGCACAATTGAGTAGATTGGTGGTGTAAGTGTAACAGTGATACAACTCAATAGATGAGCATCAATCATACGCCATTAAAGATGATCTGGATTAGGCACCTCTGTTCCTGTTGAATTTGTAATTGTGAGAGGACATGGTGTTGAACCATCAACAAAACCTAGAAGATTAGTAGCCCTGAGAATGTTGGAGAATTGATTTTTCCAGATGATAAAGTTTGATCCATCAAGCTTTACATTGACAAATGATGAAAGATTGGATATCAGCAGAGTTAAGTTTGAAGGAAGTGAAGAAGACAAAACAAATGAAGATAGTGAAGATGAAGTTGCCATGGATCAGTAGCTCATGAGAGCATCAATGCTCTAATACCATGATGAAAAGCATAATCCAGTCATATATCATTCAACTCTTTTTCCATATTTACGTATATCAGTCTCACCTCTGTATATACAAGAAAAAGCTAACTAACTTAAAACAACTCTAACTAACTAACAAACTATCTAACTAACTGAGGGAGATATTCACATAGAGCTCAGCTTAGCTCCTTGAACACTTTGATCTGTCTTGGATCTGTAGAACTTGACTTGGATTGAACTGGAACTGATCTGTCAACAAAATCTAATTAAAAGTTACCAAAAGTAAAAACATAAATAATTAAAGTCCAATAAAATTTGAATAAATATAAAATAATGGTAAAATAAATCATTAAACTATTAACCTTTAATAGTTCTCGTTCCCTATCATCTTCTTCTTCATTATTAGCCATGCTCGAAAATCTTTCATTTTTGGTACCGAAATAGCCGACAACATTATGCTTTATCAAGAATCATTGAGGAATTATCACCTATGAAGCATGGACACCTTCGGAGGTCACGTACAGGTGTCCCACACGTGTCAGACAAGCTGGGACACTTAGAACATGCTAAGGACATGTTAGGACACGCTGAGTACATGTTGAGGACACGTTAAAGACACGCTAAGGACTATTTTTTTATATAAAAAAAAAAAATTTTTTTTTTAATGAAAATAGCATATCCAAGGTTGATAAAGTTGATAAAATTAAATATGACATAAAATACATATTAAATATTTAAAAATATAACGTATAATAAATATAAAATTATATGTTTAGCGTGTCCTACATTTTTTTTTTTTTGAAAATTTGCATGTCCGTGTCATGTTTGTGTCGTGTCACATGTCCGTGCTTCTTAGATTATCACAACGATGTCAATGTAAACTGTGCGCTCTCAAGTTTAATTTAAGGAAAGCCTACAACTCTATCAATTGGCCTTTCATAATTTATTAATCTCTTGTGACTATGGGGTTCGCGAAAACATTTAATGTTTGTCTTTATGCCAAATTTCTCTATCAACAATAACGGCAAGCTGTGGGGCTATATTCCTAGTTGTAGAGGTCTAGGCAAGGGGACTTTATGTCTCTATAACTATATCATAGCCATAGACATGCTCTTTAATACTATCAAGCCAAAACAAAGGGATTCCAATACCATTAGAGGTGTGCCAAGGAAAAATAAACCACTTACGGTTGGAGATGATTTTATGATGTTTTGCAAGGTTGATGCTCACTTGGTTGCTATTTTAAAAGTGCATTAATGGTTTATCAAACGAAAAATAAAAAATAAAAATAAAATTGGGACTTATTCCTAACCCAACAACAAGTGATGTCTTTATTTCTAGAGCAACTAGTGAAGAGAAAGCTGCCTTTCTTCAAGTTCCCTGATTAAGGATTGTAGGACCCTTGAGAAAAGAATTGCAACCAAGGTCAAAACGTGGACCAACAGGTTTCTTTCTATTGTTTCAAGGGCAAAATATACAAAGTCATTGATGTCTTATATAAAAGTTGTTAGTTTTTTACTCATTGTCCATTGCCAATCGATTTTTTTTGATGTCTTCAATCCCAAATTATTTGACTTGGTGTTGGACTTCCTAAAGCTTTGTGGGACTCTCAATCCTTTGATGAGCTTCTCAGTTCCTTGGTGCCCCTTCGGGGTTTTGTTGGTAGGCCTTTTGGTCTTTTTGTGCCCTTTTGTTATTTGACAGTCCTCTTTGGTGGATCCTTGTTTGGCAATCTTGGTGGACCGTCTTTTGTGTTCAATGATCTTTACAAGATTCTTGGTGGCCTCTTGGGGGTCTAGGTGAGATTGTTTTGGTGTCTCGTAGTGAGACTTGTTTGCTTAGGTTAGAGAGAGGACCTTGATATAGTTGAGTCTTCCTAGGACTCTCCACACAACACAAGATATTAGTCTAGCAAGTTCGTATTACCAAGAAGAGTTATCAACAGTATTGACCAAATCTTCATAGCATTTCTATGAAAAAAGGTAGACCTTAACACCATTGGAGTTAAAGTTGCTTAGGATTCTGTTTGTACCCTCAGGCGGAGG